GTGAATTTTGGTGCATTTTTGTGGTGCCAATTACCCAGGCTTCAGGAGTTTATAATATCTTGGTTAATAAGGATTCTGGAGATTCAATCCAGAGGTCTGTGTAAAGACTTTTTTTTTTTTTTTTTTTTTTTTTTTTTCATAGAGAAAAAAAGCAGAACAACTCAGCCAAGATGTATTTAATTTTTAAAACAACCATTATGTACTGTTCTTAAACTTCTGGGTTTCCTTTTTATATTTCTCAGGAGACAATGGATAGCTTCTATTCGAGAGGGTGATCATCCTGAAAATGCATAGGATGGCAAAATTTCATTTTATATTTATTAATTATTCTGCAAGTTCATTATTCTTTCATTTGATGTGGCTAAGTGGTTTTCTCTGAACTGGTGTTGGTCAACATTATTATTAGCTTTGTAATGAAAAATATCCTTTCTGCATATTAAACCTTCCACCTCCCGCACATACTGAACTCATTTGATTCTCAAATAGCTGGCCTTGTCAGTGATTGCTGCAATTCGGTTTTGAGTGAAAGAATTGCTCATTTCTAATCTGTGATAATTATTGTATAAGGTTTAGATTGTTCTACACGAATGAGCAAATTACCCATCGGTGATGAAGATAATAGGTAGGAATTCTTTGATCTCTCTTCATTTATTCTCAACATTCTTGCTGCTCACTTCACACTCTGCAGACATGAGAATAATCTTTATAAGCACTTAGAATTGAAGGTTCAGTGTTGCACATAACTATTGTACAAACGGATAATGGCTGGCCATATAATTTCTTCTTACATTCCAGTGAAAGAATGTTTTATTAATTGCATTTAACAGCATTGTCAGATTAGAATTGTGTGCGGAGTTTAAGCTTCACTTGATTATCAGTGCAGGTGTCTTCACTTTTGCAACATATAGGAAACCCAAAGAGAATGGAAATGCTTGCATGGAAATATAGCACACAGGAGGACATTAAATAGCTTGCCTAACTCTACACTGGATAGTGTGTTTCCGCAAAGAGCAGGGAAATGAATCAATTTTTCAGATCTGGGTCGCAAGCCTTTACTGCAAAACATGGTTCACAAACCTTAAAATCATTTCAATATAAGGTTTCCTTAGCTGTCTGCTTCTAGATACAGTGTAAGCAAAAACAAAGTTTCTGTTAGTAATTAAATCTAAAGGTTCTATTCAACAGATTGCCTTCTCATTAGCACCTATAAAATGGCAGGTTCTCTGGAAAATGGAAAATAGTGAAATATCAACTCACTTTTCCGCTGTCGTCTGAAAACTGGTTATATGCATAACCATTAAAAATAACTGTAATTTCAAATTGTTCCTTCAAGCTATTGATGACTCTGTTCCCACTTTGTTTGCAGTGAGCTTGCCTCTTATTCTAATGAAGTAAAAACTGTTAAATTGTATCTGGAATGAGAAAAACATTTGAAGTATAAGGATAGCAGGTCTCATAACTTACTGTTTCATTTATTGCCTTTGTTAACTCATTGAGGAACCCGGAAGAGTAGTGAAGATTATATCCCTTACAATATCATCAGTGAAACACCAGATGATTGAGTTTTACAAAAATAAATTCTTGTTTGCACTTTAATGAAGGCATCTCATCATGCATAAACATCTTCAGTGTGAGTTGTAGCTCAAATTTGTTTTGTTTGAATTTTAACTTAGTCAAATATGATGTTAGGTCAAAAATTTCATGGAAAAATAGATTTAAAATACATGTTTATTTTGTTACCAAATAGTTTTATTTGTTCCATGAACAAGAGAGTCAGAGAATCAGAGAGTTAAACAGCACCCTCAATTGTATCTTGATGCCATGATCCATGCCCAGCTTTAGCCAAACCCGAAACGGGGGCACATGACCTCCTCAGGGAGGTCTCAGGACATGAAATCAGAACCTTTCCATGTGGGTCAACCTTACATAACATTGCATTTTGCTTATTGTGCTACCATCAGGTCTCAGAGCAAAAAAAATTGAAATTGATATCACTTTTTTTTTCTTTTTTACTTTTTTATTGCCAGAAAGAGGTGGGGGGGGGGAGAAAGAGAAAGTACCTCTAAATTAGGTGTGATCATTCTGCAATTCTTTCTCCTCCATTTCTCCTTCCAGTCAGGATTTTGGGCACACACATACATGAATCTGATGTGTTTTCAACACACTGCTGGGGCCAGGACTCAAACTGTGGTTAGCCATGTAGGATCTGGTTCCAATGCATGATGCTTAAATACTGGACTATGATGCTGGCTCATCAATTGTTTATAATAGGTATTTTCCACAGACCTTTTGAAGACCTCTAATATGAGCTCTATGACCCTGGGAGCCACTCTGCCTCTCAATATCAGCCCCTTTGTGTGATACCATACCTACTCCAGAGAGTTGTTGGGAAGACTCAGTGAGATGTGTCTATAAACCCTCTGTAACTTAATGCTTGGAAGAGAGTTCTGTGTTCAAAAAATGTTCCTTTCCTTCCTTCCTGAAGCTTATGGAAGATATTTTCTAGGATCTCTTATTGATAATTTCCAACTTTCAGTTGCATTTAACTGAAAGAGGAATCAAGACCGAATACTGACTTAATGAAAAATCGGCATTTCAGGAATGTGGCATTGGGTCCTGAATTCTTCTAGGTAACTACCACTGGCTTGACTGTTTTGTATTTACATGATTAAGTATTCCTCCACAGCAGCCTATAAATCCATGGCTGATAGAAGCCTGTAAACTACTCATCCATTTTAAAACGAGTAAGTTAGGCCCTGTAGCTGGGGACTAAGACCTTTAAACACCCACTGAGACATCCTTCATGGTGGGAAGAGCATAGTCACAACATTGTAGAAAGCAGTCATCTCATTAATCTCACCCTATTTCTGAGAACTTACTGCGAGTCACAGAGAGCTAGGATGTTGAGGTCTGATCCCTGGGAATTACAGCACAGGTCCTCTCCTTTGGGTGCATCATTGGCCTCCAGTAAGATGAGTGAAGATTTTGCAAGGGGAATTCCGATGAGTTCTGATAGAAAGCTGTTTTCCTTTGTGCATATTTAAAACATAGCCTGACTGTAGCCCTCAAATATATCTAAATCCATTTTTGTTCTTCTGTTCTCTGCCATGGAAGTTAGTTGGTGAAATGAATCAGATCATACAGATGTTTTTGATATAGAAATATCACTGATCAATGTGGAAGTTTTTTTTTTTTTTTTTTTTTGCCACAGTCTTAGCAGTTGGCATACTATGTATAGGTAGACCAAAAGAAGCAGTCGTTTTGACATTCAGAGATGACTGTATTGTAGGAAGAAAAAATTAAGGAGAATGATACTTTATAGTTTCTTAAACATAAAAAGAATAATTAAATATTATAGCATACTCTTCACACATCAATTTATTACCAAACATTGATAAAACACCTTCTTTCTCCCACCCTCCCCATCTTTAACCCTGATGAAGGCAAGGACCTTGAAGAGCTTTTAGTCTATCCATCAATGAAATACATACTACTCTATAAGTATTTGTGTGAAAATAAATATTTCCAAAATATGTTGAGCAAATTAGAGGACAGTGTACCCTTGCAAATTAACATCATAATTTAAAAAATTAAGCCTGTTCCACTGGCATGTTAATGAGGCTCATGAGTCACTATTAGCCATTGTTATTAGGTTAAAATTTTTAGGAATAAAGCTTATCCAATTTATTTAAGAAGGGTCTTGGCTACACATGGAGTTGCACTTAATTAGCACATAATTAGCTTCGTTGCCTGAATGTAAAGGATAGGTCCTGTTGCCCTCTCACCTTCCTCTGGGCATCTTGTTTCCATCAGCTGATTAATTTTGAAAACTGGCTCATACTCTGGTACAAGTCTTTGAGTTCTTTTTCCTGGCAGAAGTTGTCGTTATCTTGAAGCATACTGGAGAAGTACCTTCTCTATTAGAAGCCCCGTTAGCTGTGGAAGAGTGACTGATTAAGTTGTTTAAGATAGATTAAATGCCAACAGCAAAGCAAACAAGGCGTGGACTTGTAATTAGTCCTGGTCAGGAGGGAGAGAGTGTGTGACTGTAGGGCGGTGGCATGTTTGGTGTCACAGTCAGATTGACACCCATCATATGAAAGCAAGATGAATGAGGAATAAAGTGTGGGCTGGGATGACCAATAGCTTTGAAGCTATCAACCAACCTTCTTAATCCACACTAAGTACAGTACAGAAGACTTATGATTTAGTTACCAAACTACTAAACTTTCTTTATGAGGGTGAAGGCTTCTCAAGACCCAATTAAACTGTAGATTCACAAGATGTTCTAAGGCAAGCTGGTTCGAGCCAGAGAAGCCAGGGAGACCAGACAAGGAGCCCCACCTACCAGCAAGGATATATAAAAGCTTAGGAGCCTGAAGCGACATTCACAATTCAGGTACTACCTTCAGTGAGGTACAAACAGACCTCTGTCTGAAATCATGTCCTTCAACTGCTCCACAAGAAATTTCTCTTCCAGGCCAATTGGAGGACGCTGCACTGTCCCAGTGGCCCCAGTTGCCATGGCTTCGACTGGTGATGATGACTGCCTGAGTGCCATCCTTTTGCCCAGTTCCCTCCAAACTGGCTCTTGGCTCCTGGATCACTGTCAGGAGACCCGCTGCGAGCCTGCTGTTTGCCAGCCAACCTGTTACCAGCGAACTTCCTGCATTTCCGGCCCTGACCAGGTGACTTGCTCTCGACGAACTACCTGTGTCTCTAATCCCTGCTCAAGTGCTTGCAGCAGGCCACTCACCTTTGTCTCCAGTGGCTGTCAGCCCCTGGGAGGCGTCTCCAGTGTCTGCCAACCAGTGGGTGGCATCTCTACTGTCTGCCAACCAGTGGGAGGAGTTTCTACTGTGTGCCAGCCAGCCTGTGGGGTCACCAGGACGTACCAGCAGTCTTGCGTGTCCAGCTGCCGAAGACCCTGCTAAGTGTGTAGGAGCCCGTGAGCAAATCAAGTCCCTGTGACCTGCCAGCTGCAAACCCAGATCTTCCTGCACGCTGCCTGGCATTGCTGACTTCCACTCTGACTGCCTGATTTGGCTGCTAGCCATGCACAAGCTGCCTTTGGCACTCTGAAATTTTCTGGGCCAACACCCACCTTATTTTAAGGGTTGATCACTGCTGCTGTGTAAGCCTCTGGATGTTTCCAGAAGCTTTACGGCTCATATCAAGTCTCTGGTGCTTTTGATGTGTTTTGATCTTGCTGCTGTATTGTCCTGGCTTTGCTTTGTGCCTCTGAAAAAGAGAGCTTGCCTTACTGTGTATTTCTCAATAAACCTGCATTAGCTGGCATTGAAAATGTATGTCTCAACGAGTTCTTTATTTGCAAGAGTTTATTGTCTATGAGTCATCTTTTGCTGATTTTCTTCTCTGAGCCTAAAGACTGGTTCAGTCTGTGTTGCACAACTGAACATGAGATTAACTTACATTTTACTCGTTTAGAGAGTCTTTGACCCCTGGAGAAGTAAATGCCCGTGATATTTGCTTGAGAGACTTGTCTTCTACACTTCTCCTAATATTTAGGAGCTTGCAGAATAACTTCCATGTAGGAAAAAGAGAAGTTACTTGGTAAACTAGGTAGTTCAAAGAGTTGTACAGTGAAGGGGGCAGTAGGATCAGATAGAGGTTCAGCGTCTTATTAACTAGAGGACTACAGTTGGAAGCTTTGTGAAAGAAAGATCCCTCTACCATAGGCAGGACAGAGAAGAAGGAGGAAAGGAAGTTGATTTGCAGGCCCTGAGATTCACTGCATCAAAAAATTGATTTCAATTTCATGCTGAAACAAGACAGACTCCTCCAACTGGGAGTACCAGCTGGGAGACTCAGAGCTCTGAGTAAATGAAAGCTCTATGTTTTAGTAAGTCCAAGCAGGAAGGACTCAAAAAGAAGCTTCAGAATATATTGATTTATTTTAATACTCAGAGCCTCACTTTTTGCTTGCTCTCTGCTGGAACCCATGCATGTGTAAAACAAGCCATCTGGATGGGTGGGAGGTCGAGGTGCTAAGTCCTTTTGCCTCTTTTTTTAGAAGATAAGGGCTTGCTACCAATTGGTATGTTACTGCCCTTATCATCTGCTATGTCCAGAAACACAAGTCTGCATTTTCTTGTCAGTGTTCAAGGAGAAACAGAAGCAGATGACTTTTATAGACAATGGGAACACATTGCACATACCATGAACAATGGCCGCCTTTTCTCATAACAGGGGAAGCTTCGTGCCTTGTGGAGACTCCGATCATCTATTGTCAGTGCAAAATGGTTTTCTTACTCAATTGAGGCTTTCAGAGGCAAAATATGTAGATGGTTTCTGTATCGGTGGAATTATTTCCACTTTTTTCTTTCGCTGACTTTGCTCTTAAGAGCCCCTTCAGCAAAGAATTGTTAGTGTATGTCTCACGGTAGTCTCTCACTAAAGCAAGACATGCTTCTCATTGTATATTGAACCATGTCTCCTCTTTTAAATGGGTTTTCAGAAATGCTCTGTTCTGTTTAAAAATATAAATAATGAGGGGAAATCTAGATGGCCCTTTCACAGAGATTATTTTACGTGACTCTTACTATTGCTTATTTCAATCACTTCACATATTACTTGGGAAGTTTAGAGTTTTTTAAAAGTCGACAAGCTGTTTTTTTAAAAAAAGAGGTTTTTTATTTTGTATGCTTCAGCTTTCTAGGCTTCAATAACAAAATATATATTTTTATATATGGACGTATATAAAGACAGAAATGCCTTTCTTTGTTTTTTTACTTAGATGGCTGATTGGCCCGAGTAGATAACATTTATTTATCAGTAATACATAATAACATAGGCTTGATAGTTTGATATGAATAAGCTCTGCTTGGACTATATTTATAGTGATCTTGTGAACATGTAGGAATATTGTAGCTATCTTGCCAAGCTATTTTCCTGCCTTCATTTCTGTTTGGGGAATCATCTTTTTTGTTATTAGAGCTATTCTATTTGTACTTGAACTTTGAAAATTCTCTCTATTCTTTGTCTTATTACATAATAAATTGCAAAGTTTCAGAGTTCGTCTTGGAGAACAGTCTTTTTAAAAGATAGGACAGTGAAGATTTCTTTCTCTTTTGGGTCCGGGCCTAGAAATGCACTTGTATCCACTAGTCCATGGCTGCAGGCAAGGAGTGTCAATTCTCCAGGCTGGCTCTGCCACCAGGTTGTAGGTTTGTGGACATCTCTGAGCCTAAACTCATCGATGTGTGAAGCGGAAATAATGACAGACTCTCATGCCTCTGTTTTCAGCAATAAACAGACACTATGTATATAACCCATGTATCAGCTGATACATCCTGTCATGTGATATCAAAATAAAATTAGTAATTAGTTCTCTACATGTTTCTCTTTTCTTTCTTTTTTTTTTTTTTTTGGGGTTTTTTTTTCTTAAGACGCATGTTTTTGCCCAAGAGAGACAGACATGAGAGGAAAAGTGAGAAATCACTCTCTAGGAAGGATAGCCATTCCGCAATCTCTTCTCCATTCTCCTCCTAGGTACTTGGACACACACGCAAGCATGTCCAGGGTGATTTTGAAGCTGCCAGGTCTGGGACTCGACCTGTGTTTGGCCATGTGGGAGGCCAGAGATGTAACCGCTATGCCATTTGCTGGTCCCTCTACATGGTCCCTCTACTTGGTGAAGAAACATCAAGAAATTCAAGGAACGTGGAGTTAAAGTATGAGTTTATTTTGGTGAAAAAAGTGTTGAAATCCATGCATAGTTTTCATAATATGCATTTTAAATAAACTTTTGAACATTTCCCATGAAACTTCCTCATGTGTTATCCACAGTATCGGGAACATAGCAAATATTTGTTAAAGAAATCATGTAAATCTCTTTCTAGATACAACGAGTGATCAATAGAAATATAACAACTTGGTCATGAGACAGTCCTCCAGGTATATTTCAAAGGATCTTATCAAACCTATCCTCAGGAAAAAACCTACCCACAGAAAAGTCCATGTCAAAATAATGGCCTGCACACTGGAAGACCCAATTGCCATCTGCTCAGACTCACCTTGAAACTTTGCAAACACCCCAAATGCAATAAGCTGTAAACAAAAAATCAGTATTTGTAGTCCGCCACATTTAGCCCTGTTCCCTCTCTTGGTAAAGGACATCACTGTTCATCCAGTCTTCTGGAACAGGAATCTTGGGGACTGGCAGGTGGTGTGGTGGTTAAGGCACTGAATTTCCACATGGTTGACTGATTCCCAAGTCCTAGACCTGGCAGCTTGCTTTCTCACTCTCCTTCTCCCTCTTCCTCTCTTTCTCTCTCTCTGGTCAAATGGAAGAACAATAACAAAATAAATATTAAAAAAAAAAGAGTAGTAATTCCAAAATCACCTGTGAGCTCCAGTTCTTTTGGCGCTTACCTGGTGTCCAGCATCACTGGTGTCTCTGTTTATCAAGTAAAAAGAACTCTTAAAGCATTCCCATGGTTCTTTATTACTTATGTGAAAAAACTGAACTTTACTGGGTGCAATGTAACCCTGTGCTTCTGGTTACTTTGGAGGTCAAGGCAAGAGGATTACAATATCAAGGTCAGCCTGGGGGATGTAGCAAGACTCTGTCTTTAAGAACAAACAAAAATGACAAAAAAATCTAAACTCCTCTCATGACATTCAAGACCTCAATAGAGATCCTTGATGTATACTTTGTGTCTTTCCTAGTATTCACTCACAGTGAGATGTTTGGAACCACACAGGCTCTGTATACAATAAATATTGATGGAACCACACCACTCTGAAACTCAGTATTTTCAATACATTGTAAACTTCATCCTCCACAATTTGAGACTTACTATTATCTGTGAAGAGCTACCCTCCTTTTTCTCCCTGCACCCAGTCACACTGCTTTTCCCTTCACCTGACTGGGTCCTGTGATTTCAACTTTTTTTTTTTTTTTAAGAACCGCTTCAAGTTATTTTCCACAATACCCCTCCCATAAGTCTTTACTCACAGCATAATTGAGATTCTACTAGCTCCATAGATCCACAGCGCTTGGCATTTACTTCTCTATCGTGAAATTTCATATTAGCTGATTATTCATACATCTGCTTCTCTCCCTTATATTAGAATCTTCATCAGAGAGAGGCATTGTTCAGTTATTATCAGATGTTCAATAAATGTTTCCTGAGAAAAAAGAACAATTGATTAAACAATTGTTGAAACTGTGAAGTCATTTTAGTGCCACCGATTTAAAATGTATAAATAACATCTTAGAGTTACTGGAAACTCCCTTTTCAATAGGTCTCCTAAAGTCATCTTATGCATTTATTCCTCAGAGACATGCAAAGTTAGAGGATAAAAATGAGTAAACAAGGCCATCAAATAAGAAATAAAAGAGGAAAGGAGTACGAGAATCTAATCATAATTCTAAACCATCAATTTTCCCCATGACCCTGAAGAGGCCAGTCAGCCGCTTTGAAAAATTACTCGTCTGATAGATTCTGTCAAAAATATGTTCTCTCAAGGGGGGGAAAAAGAACCAGAAAACTATGTTAAAATGCCGAAGGTTTTTGGTGTTTTGCAAGTGGTTTATTTGGCATTCAAATGTCACATCTCACTTTGAAAGGCCCAAACTTTTCATTAGAACATTATACAGCTCAGTCAGTCATATTTGCTCATAAATGTGTTTTGCATTTTCAATTACTATTGCACCAGAGATATGGGCAGCCTTGAGGAATTTCATTGACAGCCACTCATATGAAACATGGCCCACACATGCTGATTTAGAAGCACATATGAAACGGTGGAACTTGGCAGTCTTAACTTTGAACCCAAAGAATTTGATCAGCCAATCTATCGGATGCTCCATATTATAAGACTGTGCTACACTGGCTCTTGGACTAATGATAGGGATTTTTCTTTTTCTCTTTAATGTGATTGCTTCCATCTTCTTACTCTTATTGTA